TTTCTGCTGGGTGAACAAAGGTATATTTGAACAAACTCATTTGCCTAAGGTGAGACCACGTGTATCACATGTGCTTCGTTGTGGGGCAGGACTAAAGTCCTAGAAACTCTCAGGATTCAAGCTGCCAAACACGGTCATCCATCCACGGATTCTCCGCGCCCAGCTTCAACTGATTTGTGACCTGAGCACCATGCACAGCACCACATGCCACCATTTAGAGATGTATAACTAATGATAGGGCTATACCCTGGACCTATGTCCTTTATGGAAACATTGTCTGAAAGTATCTAGGGAGCTAGTGTAAACAGAGATATTACGGTGCCACTAAGGCATGCTGCCTTTGTTGGAATTGTGTTTCTGACCATTTGCCGCATTCGCTGGACACAATCATTAAACATTCACAATCAACATGGTCATTGGTCTAACATGTCCATGTTTACATGGCTTGTGTGTGCACTCAGACGTGTCCCATTTGTAATGTGTGAGAACAATTCACAGGCATTCACCGTGGTGATGAAGATGTACAGAGCATTCATATCCCATTGTCCACATTCACACGTACATCACGTGAATACATATACAATACCGATGGTCTGGCGCTAGCGTCAATAATGAAGGTCTTACTACCAATGTCGGATACTTCCGATAGCCACGGAAACTAGATAATTACAGTACGTGTTTGTGTTTGAAGGCGACACAAGATATTGATCAAAGAAAGTAACACAATATATCCGCACTGCCTGTACTCACGCAGAACACATTTGCCTGTCTAATTTAGTACTAAAACATTAGTATATCGTGTACCGCTTTAATTATACTCAGCACATGTTGATTTTTACTTTTAACATACACACTTTGCTACGAAGCTACCAAGAATGACGAATAATCACATTATAACCAAATTTACATTCCATTGTATTTCAGTAGCTGTAGTGATGTTTGTAATTATTAACTTTCTTCGGTGCACTGGCGAAAATGAAATGCTTTATCGATTGTATTGACATTCAAGGTAACGAGCAATATTCAGAGAACGTAGTAAGAGTGTTTCTCACACACCTGGTTACTTCCTGTAAAGGTTAGACCAGTTGAAATCAATATTATATCTTCACACACTATAGCGCCAAAGACAAGATAAAAACTGAACGTCTTTGTTATTTGTCAACAGGGTGCGTGAATTATGAATTTAAGTGGTTGTTTGAATAAAGCTTTCACTCACAGATGTCATGGCCGACAGCTACGGTTTGCATCTACATGCCATTTACACACGAAACGACGTGCATTATGTACATAATCGTTTTTAACAAATGCATCTAAACCCTACATTAAAATAAACAGTATGATATTAAATACATATTGATAAGTTATTACTCTTGTTCGGTATACTTTTATGGTTGTTAAGAAGTGTTCTCCGGAGCGTGTCTTATTAAAGTGATGGAACCTTCATACACGGTGGCCAGATATAACTTCTGGCGAGTGTCGATATGATCATGAACAAATAAGGTGGAAACGGTTACTGGGCACAAGTCGGGGAGAAATGGTGTTCGAGTGCAAAAAGGGTTGACAAGATACTCGGGTACAAGAATGTTAAAACAGGTATCGGTACATATTGGTAGACAGGAGGAGTGTCTGGAAGAATAGCTCGAAATCAAGTTAAAAAACCCAGGTGTTTTGTGTTGGAAAATATATGCAGGCGGAGGTCTGTAGAAAGGTCATTGCTCGAATAAAAGTCGAATGGTACTGGCGTAAAAGTAGTAGAACAGGACCTGTGATGTATGACAGAGCATGTACTTGGGTATTCGTCGAGGAGAGCAGGTGATCATGCACATGTCTGGTAGAGAAGGTGCTCGGGTGCTCGTCTGGTAAAGCAAACGCCTTTCTGCATGCTTGGTTGAACACATGCTGATGTAAATGTCGTGTTCAGCAGATGCTCTTACACGAGACTAGAATAACAAATGCTCATTCAAATATATTGTTCAGCAGATGCTCTTACACCTCTGGAATAACAAATGCTCATGAACATGTCTTGTTCAGCAGGTGCTCTAAAACGACTCGAGAATAACAAATGTTCATTTGAATATATTGTTCAGCAGATGCTCTTACACAAGTCTGGAATAAGAAATGTTCATTTAAATATATTGTTCAGGTGATGCTCTTGTCCATGTCTCGTTCAGTTCAGGTATACTGGTGTAAATCGAGTGGAGCACGTGTGTAGTTACGAAGTGTCTGATAGAGCAGATACACAATTTGAGTTACTCAATAATGAGTCGGTTCCTGCAGTACATTACAACGCATAAATATACCCACCACAAAAAGACCCTCAAACAAAAGACTATTCATCTTCTGTAAACCTGTTTCGAACGTACTGGCGACAACGCCCCCAAGAAATAAGATACAGCCCTGACGGACGGCCAGCTGTTAATTACATATATGATGTTATGGGCTTTATACAGAACCAGTATCAAAACGCCATTGGAATATAGGTTGGGGAAATAGCAATATTGGATCCTGAAGTGAATAGCCTGTGCAGAATGCCACAATATTATCTATATTCGAGCACTATTGATGTATTTACGTGTTATTTAATTCATCCCAACTGTGCTATAAATAGGAATACAGCCGACTGATATTACCTTACATATCTGCACTGCAAAAATGAGAATAACCTAAGTTAGATAGTTGCCTCACAAACCATATCCCTCTATCCCTGAGGTAATTTAGGAAAGGTATTCTTTCTCAATGTTGTTGTATGCATAGATAAAAACACACATACATGCATACATGCATACACACACATACATACACGCACGCACGCACGCACGTACGCACCCGCACACACACACATACATACATACATACATACATACATACATACATACATACATACATACATACATACATACATACATACATACATACATACATACATACATACATACATACATACATACATACATACATACATACATACATATAAATTGAACCAACGGCAATCAGGTCTTGGAAGAAATAAAGGACCAAATTCTGCACCGCAGATCTGAAAGTATATTATTCATTTATACTGACGTGTATATACTGAAAGTATACACCCATGTTCGGAGGTGGCTAAAACTGAAATAAACAAGAAATGTTTAGTGAGTGGTGAAGCAGTGATAGGAGGTATCATAAATGCATCATATCAACAAGTACCACACACAAAAAATGTGTTCGGTCAATTCCAGTTTTCAAGTGTGCATATCCTGCTTTCGGGGACTCTCTGGTAATTGTTTGCCATATTTAATGCCCAATGACATACATTTTATCTAAACATGCTGAACTTGAAACATGAATGCACGCTGTCGGAAAAGTTAAATTCTGAACAGGGGCTCATTACACGAAGCAACCTTTACTAAGGTTAAGGTTAACCTTAACTCCCATTCTTTAACATTGCACTAAGGTTACCTTAGTGACTTACGATCACCTTAGTGCTTCGTGAAAGGAGCCCCAGGATTATTTTTTGCGCTGTTTAGGTGGCCAGATCCTATAAACACTCAGGAAAAGCTAACACATTCTATATATGCTCTTTAAACATAGAAAGTATATATTACATAATTTCACAAACGTACTTCACTTAATATTGCAACAATCGTCTATTTATCTGACTAATATACAGTGAAAACGCCACGGCAGAAAAAGGAACATGAATAAACAGTCATGCATAAACCCGTAAGGTGAGCTACATGTCCTGTGAAGTCTTGGCGACAGGCTGTAGCATCCACTCTGGAAACATATGGCCTGCTTCCATCCGTGATGACACCTCTGATAGGTGTGACTTTAACAAGCTGAGTGCCGAGTTCACCAAATCCTGTGTAATGCCACTCGATGAGGCGATAATACGCCAAGAGTGTTGGAATATCAACGTAGCAATTGGCAGTTCACAAGCTGTGACCTGTCTGCAAATCTTGACAGAGCATACAGGTCTGACCAGGGCAGCTATCAAAAATGTATGGATTAGGATCCACAGCAAGAACTAGCACTAGATTAGCCTTCCCTTAGGATTCGACACCAGCAGAAATATTTGTGTGCAACCTATATCGCTGAGCACAACATTGGGAAACGGATGTGAGCGGTATGACTATCGTTATTCCATGTTTAAGTATGGGAATTACTATCACCTAAAGCTGAGATTGCGGTGTTGGTCTTGATGTAGGTGGTGTCTCACAGAAAGTGGACGATGCTGCCAAGAAGCACTGATGGACGGGCACCTGTTTACAGAAGATGCTGACGTTATCTGTCTTTAATGGTATAATTGGTGATGATGTTGATGCTGATTTTAGTTTTTCTATCAGTATTTCTGACACTCACAGTCAAATTACCAAACATGAATGATTTTAACGATATTGTTTAACACATCACTCGGCAATATTAGAGCTTTCAGGCAATATTAGAGCTTTGTAAACAATTGAGTCTGTACAAGAAAATCTAGTGATTGATATTCTGAGAAACAAAATACCAATGATTAAATTTTAAATTATTGTTTAACACCTCACTCGACAATCTTAGAGATGGTGGTTTGTAAACAATTGAACCTAATCAAGAAATTCTAGAGATTGATAATCTGAGCAACGCCACAAGGATGATATGTAACAAACCAAATAACCTCGTGTGGCTACCACATCCAGTTAGTCGCCCCTAACGACCAAACATAGATTCCGACAGTCCTAGAACACTACGACACCATGAAGCGTAGTCCTATATATAGGAATCATGCCCCGTTCCGTGCGATAGCCGTTAGCGAGGCGACCAGCAGATCCTGTCACTTATCAGGGAAGCAACCCTGTCTGGTTGTCTGCCCCGTGACTTCGTTTGCAAACTCTATCGATATTCAACATTCATTATTCAGTATTAACTAATCGCCATACAGCATTCACCTTTCCTATCATCTCATTTATTCAATATACCACACAGGGCTAAGGTCACAAGTGTTAGTACACTATCGTTATAAGATACAAGACTACATGAAGCACAATTCATGACTTTTATTATACAGTTAAACCTTCATGTATTCTTTGATCATTCAGACATACACAAATATTATACACATAGTAGCGTTGTAATGTCATGATTCCGTAAAACAGTTTACAATAACGCTCAAACAAATATGGAATAGTCATCACAATGGTTCCCACCATGGCTAGTTACCATCTTAAATTCTTAAACACAGTGACACGGTTTCAGTTTGAAACATCAACACACTGAACATGAGAAGACACTTGTAGGGATGAAGGATGTCAGAGGATGAGATACACTGACAACCAAATGTCACCATCTGTATCTATCCTTATCACATCATACACGCTGTACATTTATAAACATCCAACACGTATTTAATAATATCAGTTCGCACCTAGTTCTAAATTTCTTCAAGAATAATATAGTAACGGCAATAAATAGCGCAGTAGCTGTGAAGGACATGCGTTAATAGAATGCAAAGCAATTAAAATTTTCAATCTGTAACATTCTGATGTCTGGACAAGTTTTAAAGGTCATCGTATTCATTAAGGTTACTAATGTAATGGCATTACCACATGGTGGTTCACGTCGGGTCCCAGGAGAACGCACATCTTTCAAGCTTCAAATAAGAACGTCACTAGCACTTTTTGTAATTACACTTGCACCCAGGGAGCTATTTCCCTGTTCGAAGTCTGTTGCCTATGGCAACCACATGATCGTATATAAGTGATAGTTTTGCTTCCATGTTGTTGACCTTTTCTTCTAGCGCCACCTGCCTGAGTCTTATTTGAGCTACACTTTGTGACATCTCCATCTGTGTCTTGCTCACCTCCACCACAGTGACGGCCTGGTCCATTAGGCGGCGCTGTGCACATTTAATTTCCCGGATGTTATAGATGGCGCGGAGCAACTTCCGTTGATGCGCTAGGACCTGTTTATCTTCCTTGTCAGCAGTTTTTTGTTTGTTCAGCTTGTATACAAACCAGCCACATTTCACGACATTAGCTGCTTCGTGTTTCAGCCGCTTATCCAAATCCACATCCAGAACGAAATCATGAACGTATTTCTCTGCCCGTGATAATTCCAGTTTTCGAGCCAAAACAGCAACAACCAGTGCGGTACACCCGGCTCCCATTATACCCGTAATTACTGATATGCCACGTCCGCAGTAAGAGTTAGGCACGATATCACCATAGCCTATAGTCAGAAAGGTGATGGCGATCACCCACATGGTATTGAGAAAATTGGCGTGGATTTTGTCCCCGTACATTTCACACAACCTGAGAGCCCAGCTGGCAATGACGAACAGAGACACCATAATGACAGCCAAGACATAGTCGGGGTACAGGGACATCAGAGACTTGAAGATAAACCGGAAGTTGAAGTTGATCCTGTTGAGCGCTCCTAGACTCTGAGAAGAGGCATCTTGATACAGCCTGCTATGGAGGAGGATTGCCCGACAGACGAGATATAGACGGAGGAACATCGGCAACGACAAAACAACGTCTAGAGGCACAGAGACGTCCCCCCTCCCGGGTTCGCTGTCGGAGTCGGTGGAGCTCCACGTTATGTCAAACTTCCCTGGGATCGGGTGCACGATGCAAACAGTGAATTCAAAACAGATCAAACATATTCTCCTGTACCCCATTGCTAGTCGCCAGTCTTCTACACTATTGTTGACGGTGAAGAGTTGAATGTCAAGTTTATGGTACAATCCTAGAAATATCAGAAGTGATACAGTACAAGCCGTGGTACACATCTTCAACAGGTTTGATACTAGGGTTCCCCTGGTTACAACCTTAGCAAACGCTAGTTCCGTTTCTATAACCATAAACAAGATTCCTGACACGGCCAACGCAAGCGCGAGGTCACAGACGCGCTTGCGTTTGGCAAACAGTTCCTTCCGTTTCGCCAGTTTACTTCCTACGGTTGCAAACCTCTTCGACTTCAGCTCCTGTTGCTCAAAGCTGGTGTACAGTTTGTGTTTTCTATGCCTGTTCATTCCAACCAGCGGAATAGCAGGGTCCTCAATTATTGAGCTCATTCTTTCCAAATGAATTGAATTCCTCTTCAATTGCACAAAGGATTACTGCAGTCAATACACCATGGGGACTCTCCAATCCTTCTGGCGTGACCCCTGGAGTATGAAACACGCGAGTCTTACTCGCTTGAGTTCCCGCAGAGTGCCACCGGGTCACGACTAAACAAGCTTAAGCACACATGAAGAAGCAAGGTCTGTTGACGGTAATTACATAAAGTAGACTGCTACCATTTCACCATGGTTGTAGTGTATTACCATTTAGTACTGTCGATTAACTCGCCGGCTGCTCTGATATCTATGTGACAGCTGAACGTACGTACACTACAGCAAGGGAACGTAGATATCCATACACAACAGTTGTCAATAAACCACGCACCTGCAATACTTACACGTCAGGTAGTACCAACTTCCATTGCTTCTTAACCACAAATATGCTCTTTGTTGTCAGAGATCGTCCACGATCGTAGTCCACTATCCAGAGAATGGATTACAACAAACACAGTAGCCTGTATCAGCTTGCCTGTAACTGTGATAAGCCGTGTGCTTGATTCTGAACGTTTATTGAATCTGGGAGATAGTACTGTTTCTTCCCAGCCTACGGGTTCCTCCTAGAGCTGTCGCGCAAGCCTCGTCGGCAGCTGTTCAGCAGCATACAATTTGTCCTCCTGTCAACAGAAGCGATTCATTTTTTCTGGTGGTCACACATACATGTTTCGTTACAATATCGCGAAGCGAGAGTACGTTCTATCAATTGAGAAGTTTCTCGCTATGCCACGTGGGCGAGGGCTATAAGGGCAGAAGGAGGAGCGTCAGCGTAGGGTCATTTACATACCAACTGCACTTATCGGTTGACCATTGCCTCGATCTCAGCATTCCGGGCGGTGCAATCATTGATTTTGGTCAGCCCTCAAGAGAATAAGCCAATCTTAATTGGAGCCATATCGGCTAATTACAGCATTATGGGCCCCCTTGACACTGCTAGTCCGCCTCCATAGCCTTCTCTTTAAGCAGAATATCACTCTCACAAGTCAAGCTTAGCGTTCGTTGCAATGCATGTTTCGGTGATCCCTCTCCTTTTTGCGGAAAACGAAGTTCCTCAGCTGGTTAACAGTGACATTGAAGGCCAGTGGAAACTAAGAGCATCAGGCGAATTTACACATAATTGTCCACGACGTTCCTATGTGACGGAGATGATATCTGTACGTGACATCCACGAGGTCACTGTTTGAGACTGTGCAGCAATCTCATCCGGTCAGTGTTTGACCACTGGACATCAGATAAACTCCAGAGTGTGACACTGACAGCGAGATGCGGCCGTCCTCATCCTCACAGCTTCAAGGCAGCATCTGTGCCGTCATTGATAGCACTGTCGTACTTACACAGATCGATACCATCCAGCTCACATGGCATAGCAGTTAATAAAATAATCATGAAACTAAACGCGAAAATTATTTTCCAGTGCTTTGCTCTTGGTCACACGAAGCACAAACGTAGAGGTGGATTCTATTGGGAGTGGATGATCACAATATTGCAATTCCCTCAGGAGGGGGCCGAGGTTTGGCGACTGAATTCACGATGCAAGAGAAGTAAATACAAACGGTTTTTTCTCCTACCCTTGCAAGTCCCTGCTCGCGTTGCTTTGTATGTTTCCAATGGTGCCAGTGCATTTGGTCCTATATCTTATGGATATGGGTCTTTTGAGACTCGGGGACTTGCGGATTGAGTGAATACGCAAACCCTTTTCAGTCTTCAGTTGCAGTTATACATTAGTGTTAGCAACCAGACTAAAATATAAATGGGATAGCTGTCTGTGTAAGAAAATTAGATGGATTTCTAAACAAAAGCACCATTCCAAATATTGCCAGTATTATTTAGGAAATATACTATCTGTATAAAATATCTATCAAAGCACACATGACATATCACATGACACACACACACACACACACACACACACACACACACACACACACACACACACACACACACACACACACACACACACAAACTCCCACCCCAACTCCCCCCCAACCCTCCTCAGTGTAATGTCAAAGCCTGTGTTATTACTCCAGAGCGTCAAGTCAAAAAATATTTTCAAATGGTTGGAATAAGTAATGCCACTCAAGGAAGAAAGCGATTCTGTAAACAACAGTCACTGTTTTAATTGCACAATTGGGGTATTGTAAAACCGTTGCACGTGTATAGTTTGGCGTTGCTTTTGCATTCTAAGTCACTCCGTGCACTGATTTCGTTCAAGATAGGCGAAATGGGGTTGCCTTGTGATTAAAACCTTCGTTTGTCACGGTGCAGTTTCCCACGTGGGTGCAGTGTGTACGGTCAGTTTCTGGTGTCGTCCACCGTGATATTGCTGGGATATTGCAAAAAGCCAGGTACAACTACACTAACTCATCTTAAGGATGAGGAAAACTACGGATTAAAATTGCAGTTCGTCTCAGTGCGGATTAGATCCTTGTCGATACAAGTCTTCTATCGAATTATGACACTGTCTATGGTCCAACGTTCAAGATCTGATACTATGATACGTGTATGACACGTATTGAAAGTATTTAGCGACAGATTCTTTTTTAGCAAATATGAAGTGGGCACCCAAATAGAAGTATATGTATTTAAAGTACCTATATTTGGGTATACACACATACACACACACACACACACACACACATATATATATATATATATATATATATGTGTGTGTGTGTGTACCTATATATATATACGTTGGTAGCAACGTCATTCTCATGATGATCACATTGACAGTGTGAAACCAAATTGAAGAAATTATATCTGTACCAAGGATCTTCAGACTTTTGTCTTTGTGTGTGTGTGTGTGTGTGTGTGTGTATTAAAATTGTATATATATATTTATTTATAATTAGAACACCTACCGACTACGAGTGAGAAAATAATAGTTTTCTATCAATATGGCCTTCCACGGTGAGGCGGACGCCACATTTGAACCAGAGATGGGGATTTTGGTTTGATACTTCTAATGATCCGATCAGAATGGAGTAATTTTCAATTTCCTGGCCGTCACCGAGTCACCGTATAATCGTGTGTATGTTCGGTGACACGCGGCAAAGTCAAACCTGTATGCTCATGTTCATTTACATTTTAATGTGATGTCTATCGGCAACAGACCTATGTTCAAAATTGTCCTCACAAATGCAGGCGTAAAGAAGGTCAATGACTGCGGCCGAGCTGTTGACGTAGGCTGATTTCTCAGCCGTTGCAGTTTCCACACTTTACTTGAAAACAGCAGTGAATATTGTCGGTACATGAAAACACCGGATGACCTGTCGGTATTTCTAGTGCATGGCCCAAATTGTTGAGCGAGTAACTAGTTCGTAAAAGGTCAGACTAGTGTGCGTATTACTAGTTCACAATAAACACTGGTCAGACTAGTGTTGGTGTTCCTGGTTCACAATAAACACTGGTCAGACTAGTGTGCGTATAGCTAGTTCACAATAAACACTGGTCAGACTAGTGTGCGTATAGCTAGTTCACAATAAACACTGGTCAGACTAGTGTGGGTATAGCTAGTTCACAATAAACACTGGTCAGACTAGTGTGGGTATGGCTAGTTCACAATAAACACTGGTCAGACTAGTGTGGGTATAGCTAGTTCACAATAAACACTGGTCAGACTAGTGTATAGTGTTCACACAAACACTGGTCAGACTAGTGTTGGTGTATCGATAGTTCACAACAAACACTGGTCAGACTAGTGTGCGGAGCTAGTTCACAGTAAACACTGGTCAGACTAGTGTGGGTGTTACCAGGCCACAGTAGGTCAGACTAGTGTGGATGTTACCAGGTCACAGTAGGTCAGACTAGTGTGGATGTTACCAGGTCACAGTAGGTCAGACTAGTGTGGATGTTACCAGGTCACAGTAGGTCAGACTAGTGTGGATGTTCACCAGTTCACAGTAGGTCAGGACTAGTGTGGATGTTACCACCAGTTCACAGTAGGTCAGACTAGTGTGGATGTACCAGGTCATTAGTTCAGACTAGGCAGGTTACCAGTAGGTCAGACTAGTGTGGATGTTACCAGGCCACAGTAGGTCAGACTAGTGTAGTTCACAGTAGGTCAGACTAGTGTGGGTGTTACCAGGTCACAGTAGGTCAGACTAGTGTGGGTGTTACCAGGCCACAGTAGGTCAGACTATTGTGGATGTTACCAGGTCACAGTAGGTCAGACTAGTGTGGATGTTACCAGGTCACAGTAGGTCAGACTAGTGTGGGTGTTACCAGGTCACAGTAGGTCAGACTAGTGTGGATGTTACCAGGTCACAGTAGGTCAGACTAGTGTGGATGTTACCAGGTCACAGTAGGTCAGACTAGTGTGGATGTTACCAGTTCATTGTAGGTCAGACTAGTGTGGATGTTACCAGGTCACAGTAGGTCAGACTAGTGTGGATGTTACCAGGTCACAGTAGGTCAGACTAGTGTGGATGTTACCAGGTCACAGTAGGTCAGACTAGTGTGGATGTTACCAGGTCACAGTAGGTCAGACTAGTGTGGATGTTACCAGGTCACAGTAGGTCAGACTAGTGTGGATGTTACCAGGTCACAGTAGGTCAGACTAGTGTGGATGTTACCAGGTCACAGTAGGTCAGACTAGTGTGGATGTTACCAGGTCACAGTAGGTCAGACTAGTGTGGGTGTTACCAGGTCACAGTAGGTCAGACTAGTGTGGATGTTACCAGGTCACAGTAGGTCAGACTAGTGTGGATGTTACCAGGTCACTGTAGGTCAGACTAGTGTGGATGTTACCAGGTCACAGTAGGTCAGACTAGTGTGGATGTTACCAGGTCATAGTAGGTCAGACTAGTGTGGATGTTACCAGGCCACAGTAGGTCGGACTAGTGTGGATGTTTATTAGTTCATTGTAGGTCAGACTTGTATCGGTGTTACCAGTTCATTGTGGGTCAGACTAGTGTGGATGTCCATTAGTTCATTGTAGGTCAGACTTGTGTCGGTGTTACCAGTTCATTGTAGGTCAGACTTGTGTCGGTGTTACCAGTTCATTGTAGGTCAGACTTGTGTCGGTGTTACCAGTTCATTGTAGGTCAGACTTGTGTCGGTGTTACCATTTCATTGTTGGTCAGACTAGTGTGGGGTGTTACTAGTTCACAGTAGGTCAGACTAGTGTGGATGTTCATTAGTTCATTGTAGGTCAGACTTCTGTGGATGTTCATTAGTTCACAGTAGGTCAGACTAGTGTGGATGTTCATTAGTTCATTGTAGGTCAGACTAGTGTGGATGTTCAATAGTTCATTGTAGGTCAGACTAGTGTGGATGTTGATTAGTTCATTGTAGGTCAGACTAGTGTGGATGTTCATTAGTTCATTGTAGGTCAGACTAGTGTGGATGTTCATTAGTTCATTGTAGGTCAGACTAGTGTGGATGTTCATTAGTTCATTGTAGGTCAGACTAGTGTGGATGTTCATTAGTTCATTGTAGGTCAGACTAGTGTGGATGTTCATTAGTTCATTGTAAGTCAGACTAGTGTGGATGTTCATTAGTTCATTGTAGGTCAGACTAGTGTGGATGTTCATTAGAGTGTCAGATTAGTTCATTAGTTAGGTCAGACTAGTGTGGATGTTCATGTAGTTCACTAGTGTGGGTCAGACTAGTGTGGATGTTCATTAGTTCATTGTAGGTCAGACTAGTGTGGATGTTCATTAGTTCATTGTAGGTCAGACTAGTGTGGATGTTCATTAGTTCATTGTAGGTCAGACTAGTGTGGATGTTCATTAGTTCATTGTAGGTCAGACTAGTGTGGATGTTCACAGTTCAGTGTAGGTGACTAGTGTGGAGTTCATTAGTTCACAGTAGGTCAGTGTGGACTAGTGTGGATGTTCATTAGTTCATTGTAGAGTCAGTCAGACTAGTGTGGATGTTCATTAGTTCACAGTAGGTCAGACTAGTGTGGATGTTCATTAGTTCATTGTAGGTCAGACTAGTGTGGATGTTCATTAGTTCATTGTAGCAGACTAGTGTGGATGTTCATTAGACTAGTGTGATGTTCATTAGTTCACAGTAGGTCAGACTAGTGTGGATGTTCATTAGTTCATTGTTCATTGTGTGGATGTTAGGTTCAGAGGTCAGACTAGTGTGGATGTTCATTAGTTCACAGTAGGTCAGACTAGTGTGGATGTTCATTAGTTCACAGTAGGTAGTGTGGATGTTCATTAGTTCATTGTAGGTCAGACTAGTGTGGATGTTCATTAGTTCATTGTAGGTCAGAGTGTCAGACATTGTAGGTCAGACTAGTGTGGATGTTCATTAGTTCATTGTAGGTCAGACTAGTGTGGATGTTCATTAGTTCATTG